TAAATGTAATCCACTAATAAGATAAGCACTTACCAGCGAGAATATATCCATTAGATAAAAAATATCTATTTGGATTATTTAAAAATTCAGTATAAACCTCAATCCATCGAAACGCTGCAGCATCGTAAGTACGGCCTATCTAATTATCACACCACACACTCTAAAAATGTTCCGAAATAGCTTTATTGTACCTGAATCTCCAACACGTATGTACGTAAAACGTCCTCTATCGTCGCAGATAGCCGTCAATTTCATAGAGAAATTTCCCTTTCTATCTCTCCACTGTTCCTTGTGATGCTTTCTAGCTTCGATCACAACATTTTTACCATCCAAGGCACCTATGACGTTGGGCAAACGACGGATAGCTCCAGGTCTATTACCATGTGGCCACTGAAAGCCATTTTGAATAGCATTGACTCTGTCACTTTCCAAGGGCCAGCTGATCAAATCGCCATAAACATCTTCAACAGCTGTTAAAAACCGTCTAAAAAAATTCATGGAACTTCCATGTGAAACACCCCAAGCCATGTGAGAAGTTCTATATCCAAGATGACAGTTGGCCAAGCGCCATATAGCACAGGATACTTGTACGTACACTGGCAAAGCGTTGTGTGCTCTTACATCAAAAGCAGGGTGGTTGCTCAGATCATTAACAAGCCTTTCAAAGGACGTGCGATCCATTCTGTACATGGCTCGAAAACTGGTACGTGGATTATTGTCGTCGAGTAAATGTGGATGGGTTATTGTCCAGTAATGGTAGTTGGTAAACGTTACGCCCTCCGCAGATGTCTCCGTACGGGTGTTCTGTCTACCAGTATTGAGAAAGGGCAAAGCCTCGAAGAAAGAAGGAATGTCGAAAAAATATGTTAAGTGATAGAGATAACCCTCTTGGCTTATGTTGTGTCGTAACTGACTTTGCTGCCAAAACATCGAAACTATTTGTTGTTGTCGTGTTCTTATATCTTTCATTTGTTTGCGTAAGGTCAAAATGGCGATCAAGGTATTTGTTTGCGTAGGTGTAAGCATTATAAAATTTGTATTTAAGCAAAAGCAAAAAAAAATGAAATAAAAAAAAATATAACGGAAAGTCAAAGGGAAACTGAGGATAGTAAACTTGAAAATTTCCAAAATGATGTCATACGCTAGTATATATATAGGGGGGACCAAACTGTATTACAAATTGAGCGATTTGCTTTTGAAAATAAAGTTTGCTTGGGAACGGCCTATTATGGATAATGCTCCAATCCACGTCCCTGCGTTAATTGACCCTGTAGTTGTCAAAAGAGGTTATACTCCGGTATACCTCCCCCCATATTCACCAGAACTTAATCCCATCGAACAATTCTGGGCTATTGTAAAGGAAAAGGTCAAGCGCAATAAGCTGAGTGACGTAGAGTCCCTAATTACACGCATAACTGAAGCTGGTGAAAGTGTACCAGTTGAAAACCTTGTAGCATTTATTTAACACTCAGTTAACCAATTCGATAATTGTGTCAAAAAAAATCCTATATAGCTCACACCTAACCAAAATAAATAATTTTCAAAAATATGACCAATTGAAGTTTAAAAAGTGTCCAACTGAATTTCACATTTTTGACCAAAAAAGTTCAAAAATCCGACCAATGTTTTCAAAAAAGTGTCCAATTGAGGGCGGACGCACTGTATAGTCTATATGTAACTACACGAATCTTTTTTATTGACTTCTTTATCTTCACATATAAGAGCATCCCCAACGGTGTGTGAAAAAATAATTTTATTCCAAAATAGCACAAAAATTTAGAATAATTTAACCCCAACGGTCAATTGGATAATAGAATATTTTAAAAATTTTATCACAAATATTCTAAATTTCCAATTGAATCAATAAATTTAGAAAATTTCTTCTTTTATTCTAGTCCCTTAATTTTTTTGACATGAGCGATAATTCCGAAACAGTAACAATCCCTGAGCTTCCCAAAAAGCAGGACGTGGAGCAAATTGGTCAAGAGCCGAAGACCAACAGTTGTGCCTTTCGTTTGTCGCCATTGCTACCGATGGTGTCATTGGTAAAGGTCAGACATGCAAAAGTTTTTGGGATCGCATTAAGACCGACTACAATGCCAAAATCGGTGACAATGCTGTCGAAGAACGTACCAGTGCTGCCGTAACCAGCCGTTGGAACACCATCAATCCCAGCGTGCAAAAGTTCACCGGATGCTACGAAACTCTTTTGAGAAGTGTGCAGCAAAGTGGATCAAGTCCTCAGGATTTGGTAAGATTGCTATAGCTTAATTCTAGCAGAACTAAATTGTTATTTTACATAACAGGTCCATAAGGCGTATGCTCTATACAAAACGTCGACCAAAAACGGTGCTCCTTTTGTTTTGGAACACTGTTGGCAAATCTTATCCGCTGAGCCAAAGTGGGCCATGTACAACATGCCTAAGCCTGTTGTAACTAAGAGAAAAAACAATGGCAGTCTTGAAGTCGTTGAAGACACTGAGACGGGTTCTTCTTCTGGGGATGTAACACGCCCAATGGGGTGTAAAAAGCTGAAGGCACTCCAGCAGCGTGAGCGCCAAAACGAGGTAGGTGAAAGCATCGCCGTCCGTTTGAAGGATCTTCTGGAGTTGAACCAGAAGAAGTTACTTCAGAACAAGTTGGCTGTTCAAGTAACCAACAAGAAGATGAGGTTCGACAAGAGAGTTCGAGATGAAAGAATCAAGTCGATGGATCTTTCGGTCATGACTGACCCTCGTAAGCGTGCGTACTTCGAGAAAAAACATGAGAAAATCCTTTCTCAACCATCTGACGAATCGTCTGATGAAGAAGTAGAAGATGTGGTAGAAGATGTAGTAGAAGAAGTAGAAGAAGTAGAAGACGGATTAGAAGATTGATTGGAAGAAGACAAATAGAAACTTTTAAAAAATAAAAAAATAAAATTGAAACAAAGTACTACATATTGCCCTGTCTTTGCCAGTGATGCTCGATCAAGTCTTTTTTCAACTGATTATGTGTATCACTATCTTTTAAAGCAACCAAACGGCTCACCAAAGCAGCAAAGGCTTCGGGATCATTCATATCAGGGTAAGCTTGTCCATGAAAAGAATGCATGTGGTAGTCTGTTCCAAGATCCTGACCACGTTCGTTTTCTACAATCTTATTATGTAATATGATACATGTTTGCATAATGGCCCTGAGATCGATAAAGTCCCAAAGTCTAGCAGGCCATTTAATAATAGCAAAACGTGCTTGCAGTACACCAAATGCACGTTCTACGTCCTTTCGCACACTTTCTTGTGCCTTAGCAAAAGACTATTAAAGTCCAAGTAAATTAGTTTTTTATAAATTATCTTTGCTACTCTTGGTACCTTCTCTTTTTGCGACGTAGGCACTGCAATTGTCTTCACCAAAGTCGACCAAGTTGGGTAAATACCATCTGCGAGAAAGTACCCCTTATCGTATCTATTGCCATTGACGAAGAACTCGACTTCAGGAGCAACACCATGTATCAAGGGGTCAAATACATGGGAACGATTGATGACATTGATAACGTTCAGTGATCCTGGAAGACCAAAAAAGCAATGCCAGATCCAAAGGTCTTGGGAAGCAACAGCTTCGAGAATCAAAGTTGGCATTTTTTCTTTGCCGGTGTACATGCCATGCCAGGCAGTTGGACAATTTTTCCACGTCCAGTGCATACAATCAATTGACCCCAACATACCCGGAAATCCTCTCTCTTCATTGATTGCCAAAAGATTCTTGACATCCTCACTGTTGGGGGTTCTCAAATATTCCTCCCCATAGATTGCCACAATCGCATGGCAAAAGTGCTTCAATGACTCCATGGCGGTGGAATCAGCAAGTCTGATGTACTCATCAACGGAATCCGATGATACACCGTAAGCTAATTGACGCATAGCTGCTGTCACTTTCTGGATCGTTGAAAGTCCAGGCTTTCCAGCAGCATCCGGTTTTTGGGTGAAGTATTCATCCTTTAATCGAACTGCTTCGACAATTTCCAGAAACAGATCACGCTTCATTCTAAAACGACGACGAAACTGTTGGTCTGTATAAACAGGGTCATCGGAAAAGTAGTCGTTCAAAAGACGTTCATGCCCGGCAGCACGGTTTCTATTAACATAGCGGCGACCAGGAACGGATCCACCTCTCTTGGGTGTATCTTCGGTAAGTTGTATAAGATACTGAAGAGCTTCTTGGATAAGTTGATCTTCAACATCATTGTTGTCAGTTATGTCAAAGTTATTACTCATTTTTGTAACAAAAAATTTAAAAAAGAACAGAAAAGAAAATAAAATCAGGAACGGGATTATAAATTTAGCTACAACCGTTGGGGTCGATCTGTTCTATTTTATTTTAACAGATGGAAAACAGTCCTATTTTACATTTGGAATTCAAAAACCGTTGGGGATGCTCTAACTTACTGAATATATAAAAAGTGTCTCAACAATTCATCAATATGTCAGGAGCGGACAGGCGGACAGAACAGACAGAAGAATACTTGCTTACAAGAACAAAGAAATAAAATATAATTACTATATTTATTATAAGAGGGAGAGAGAGAGAGAGAGAAAGAGGAAAAGACGAGAGAGGGTTATTAGATAATATGTCTGATGAAGGGGAAGAAAGAAGAGAGGAAGTTAGGCTATATTTATAGTAAACGGATTGTATAGTTATTTAGCATAAAAATAAGCAATGACAAAGTTTAGTAAGTCATTACTTACTTATGACAAATATTTTACGAATGATGGCTGACACGTACAGTAGATGACAAGGTGGTGACAAAAAACTACCCAAATGAATGCATCTACGTGACACGCTCAGGACACCAAGCGATGCCGGGGATTTTCAACTTGGCCTAAAAAACCAGAGGAGCCTTCATGACCATGGGGGATCCCAATTTCGTTGGAAGCCGGGTCGATAAGAATTTTAAGAGCCTTCGGATCCGTATATCCGATGATAAGACAGTCGGCAAGTTCTGTCACCACATTGCATGATAGTCAAATGGGTAATTCCGCAATGACAGCAGAAATATCTGCAACGCCTAACGATGTGTTGACTTGTCTGTTAGCGGTGGTGTATTGAATTCTTGTGTCAGGGTTAGGCACCACTCCGAGACGTTTAATAACAGATCACCGGAGCACGGTCAACGAAGCACCAGTATCTAAAAACGCGAGCACAGACGGACCATGAATGATGACTTGGAGACAAGGTGTAGCGGATGAGGTTGCTTTGATAGACGGTTTATGCACACCTGTTATTGTAGCCAATGGATCATCTTCGGTTGGTACAACCGCGTAGACAGGTTGGGCCGGTGTCAAAATGAAACTTTCATAATTCACTGTAGTTGATGATTGAGGAGCCGGGATATGCCAGTCAGGTTGGATGGAACAGGAGCGGGGGCTTGAGCCACAGCATGGACACCTTTCTTGTCAGTGTTATTCTTAGAACACCGTTTCTTCAAATGTCCTTTGATTTTGCAGTAACCACAGATTGGTTGACCATCAGGAGCCCAACGACGCATCGTATCGACATTTTGTGCTTTATTACCGAATGACTGAAGACGTTCTCAATGATGATTCATAGCATACATTTCCATCGGGGTGACATCCGGAGCAGAACCTGTGGATGAACCAAGTACCGGTGTGGGATTAAGAGTTAGTTGTTCAATAGCCGTTTTAAGGAAGGTGTCATTCATCGACAATGATTCTTCAAGTTCAATTGGTGCTTTATATACCATTTCCGAATTTGTTTTATTGGCAATATTTGTCAACAACAGATTACGTACCTGTGGTGCCATCACACGGGGGTAAATGATACGCAAGGTATTGGCATTCAAGCAGTGGACGGCGGGAAATTCGAAGATGATGGACACAAAGAGTACAACAAAACGCCGAGAAGACAAACGACCTTGGTGATGAGCTTCTAAGCGTCCTCGAACAAAATTGTTGTACTTCGCAGGTGGAATACCATACGTTTGGATCAAGGTAGACTTGAGAGAGCTCCAAGAACTAGCAGCCTAGAAACGAAATACCACGTAGATATTTCAGTTGGTAAGTATCGACCGATGTGTAAAAGTTTTTGGTTATCAACGAGGCCGAGGCATTGAGAGTTGAGGTCAAACTGATCAACCCAATTGTTGATACTTTCCGGAGGATCAAACATAGTGTCATGAACCACGTACTTTGCACTTTGCCCCTGACCACGAATCCCCGACTATTAGAATGTTCTGGAATCTCATGCTGAGATTCAACAACGCCAGTGTCCAGAACCTTCCAGGACCTTCCAAGACTATCCACGCAACGAACCTCCGCTTCCAAGAGATTAGTAATCATGACTCGTTTCCAAGTATCTCGGACGCCAAGCAGTTAGTAATCATGACTCATGGGTTTCGGCCACGTAAGCTGAAACCAACACTAAGACTAATTAAGTAAGCCAAGACATTCTTAAATGCAAACCCATGTTATCTGAAAAGATATAAATACTCCCCCTTTCCATTGCCTTCCCCGTTCCACGTCGATTATCTTGTATCCTTCCCCTTCCCTGTATAATCTATTATTATTATTAAATACTTTGTAAACCACTCTTCCTTTGTCTTGTATAACTAGTAGGTATCTTCTGATATTATTGCTATAATATATTCCTAGCCACGTTCCTGACACATAGGCACAATAGGACTTGTGGAAGCTCGATTTTTGGTAAGTAATTGGTTAACTAGTTGACCTATGAGGGTCGAGTTTGAAGTAGTAGCCATGAGGACCGAGAGATAAGAGAGAAAACAAAGAAAAGAAGCGGTAGAACGAAGAGGAAAGACTAACGGAAGGCACAGAGTAAGAGCAGCTACTCCACCATAACATAAGTTTGTAGTCGGGCGTTGAGGATCTACACGTTGATTAGCCAGATGTTTATATGAGTTGGAAAATAGAGGTATTTTCCTTTCTTTTGCCGAACAAGATAACTAGACTTTTTATGAAGAATAAAGATTTCTTGATAAAATTATATTTTCTTTTTATATTGAATAATAGTTTAGCTAAATTTTAGCTCGACACTAACATTCGTGCTAATTGTCGAGACTTTACATTATTTAAAATAGTGTGATATTTGAACACCGATGGTCAGCTGATGAGATCTGCAACTCAGGAGATATTAGAGGAGGGGTAAAATCTCACGAAAAAAAAAACATTTCTCTTCATCCATTTTATGTCTTTTCCAATTGTAAAGCAAGCGTTAAAATACCTAATTACACGTATAGCTACACGATCCTAATAGCTCGAGACAGAGAAAATGTCTATTTTTGACATTATTTTACAATCGAAACTGTCATTTACAATAAACAACAACACATTTTCAATACGTTTTACCAAATAATAAACGATGGTTCGATATGAATTTAAGCAAGCAGTAAGCACGATTTTTGTATAGCTTTTAATGGGGCAATATGCCAGTAAAACTTGTTTGTGACATGAACACATTTTTATTGTTCAAAACATTTTTACCAGTGGTGTTGAGAGTTGTGGCCCATGCCACACAGTTTTTGTAATGATAAATCAGGTAGATATTAATTTTAAAAAAAGGATTTATTCAAAAGAAAAAAAAACTAACGTCAACTACTTCAGAAGCATCATAAGAGAAGTCATCTTTACCGTCAAAGACTGGTTGAAGTTTACTCTCACTTCTTACTACATATGTCTCTTCGTTACCTCGTGCATTCTCAAGAGGCTCCGTCAATAATTGCCGGAACGCCACAAGGTGTTGGTCAATTTCCGTGAATGACGTCCTTCTGAACGCATTGGTCCAAAGACTCGTCACCAACAGCTCCTTCATACCCAACTCGAACTCCCTCTGGCTGTTCTCTCTCAGCATTTCATCGTTTCTCGACTGGGATTCACGGTATTCTGAAGAGAAATCCATCTTTATCCTCTTGTTTCTTATGGAATAATCAGAATCTACACGAATATAATCAACTGAAGGCATCTCAGGTCAAGGTCAAGACGACGGAACATTCCGACGAGCACCAACAGAACTACGACAGCCAGAAGAAGCACGACCACCAGGAGCACGAGTACTACTGGAGCTACCACGAACACCATGGGAGCCAACATTGACACGAACAGTGTCCACATCATTATCATCGCTGAAGACATTCATGCCAAGGATTTCAGCAACTTCCCTGTCTAATAATGTTGAGCTACGACGAGTTCTAGGTCTATTGTCAGAAACCACAGGAAGAGAAGGCGTATGGTTGTCACCTGTAGGTTCTGTACTAAAATCGCACTATTTAACATATAAAATCGCATATAAAATCATACCATCGATCCTTGATTGACAGGTACATAATATCATAACACTCATAAAAAATAATAGCCTGAAAAATATCTTGAGTTATACATTTACAACTCCGGGTTACTAGATATTCCAATAGAAGATCCCATTTCGAATAATAAATTGGCTACACTAATAAGGCTCATCAGTCATTAGTAAATACAGCCAATAATACCAAGTGAACACATGCTAGTCCGTAATTTTACCCACGCTTTAAATAAATCTAAATACCCCCCTTTCTTTCAGAGATGAAAAAGGGATTCACTTTTAATAAGAATAAAAAAGCCTACAAGCAATATTAATCTTATTCTTCTGTTTTTTTATCTTTTATTTTTCTGTGTCAAAGAAACTGTTTTTCTACAGGTTCGACGGACAAAGAGTGAGAAGTCATTGATAGTCCAGGAGACGAATGGTCAACAGAAGGATCGTGGGTACGAGCTGAAGGTTCCTCAGAGGCAGATCAAATTGTCTGAGCAGGTTCAAGCTCTTTGACCTCACCAAAAACAGTACGGGTTTGTTCAGCAATTGCCGTAATGGTGGGCTCTTTTCTACTGGAGAACGTATACTCAGTACCGCCAGTAGCACCATGAAAAGCTAACCAAACAGGTTGGGTATTAGACCTATCACCATGCAAAGTCGACAATCGCACAAATCCAGGACATTCGAAATCACACTTTTGTTCGATACTGGTGCTCCCTCCACGAATACCCTTTTCTGTCAAACCTAAACCAGTGCCATTCAACTTTCTCTCTATTTCGCGGTACTTGGTAAAAAGACGGGCAACACGTTTCATAAGTTCATCCAGCGTCCTAAAGGTGGGTATCGCCTTACCAGCCAACAGTTTTCTCATCATACCCTTATTGATTTCACGCTTTTCCACAATGGTGGCAGCATTATCATGTACACCGATGTATGCTTTAAAAAGCTTTTTGTTTTTCTTCGAAGTAAGAAATTATCACTTTGGCATGAGCAGGCCTGCTGTTGGATCCGGTTTGGCTATCATCAACGGGAGCTGTTTTGGAAGATATTTTTATGGATGTTCTAGCAGTAGTTTGTCTACGTTGACTAGGCATTTTAGTTGATATAATTTCAGAGAAAGAAGGTAAGTCAAATGTGGGATAAACGAGGTTTATATATAATAATTAGATGAGTGATGATGTTTGCATGTCATTTTCATGACGTAAAGTAAAGAAAAATAAACTATTTATTACTTTTTATGGCAATTTCGTCATAAATTATGACGTAAAATCCACGGACAATAATTATCGTCCGTCATTTTTCTCGACCGATAATTATCGTCCGTCGTTTTTCTTGACGAATATTTATCGTCCGTTCCTGAATGTTTGGCTGGGAAAAAAATTACGGGATTTTTATTTTTAATTTTTGGGACCCCCTAATATATATAAATAAATATTGTTGTTGTTGCTGTCGTTGCTGTTGTTGCTGATGTTGCTGATGTTATTATTGCTGTTTTTGTTGTTGTTACTGTTTTTGGTAGGAGTTGACTGACTGCGTGTCACTTCCACATTGTCGCCGCTTTCTACACGTATCTCGCCAATCCACTGTCCTTCCGACACTAATTAGGCCCGTGCCAACATTGCTGCTGACCTAAGCTCAAATCAATGCAAACGCACCCTCTTGTACCTCCGCATCACTGGTCCCCACAAGGTCAAGGCTGTTGGTCATCGTAAGACTAACTTGGGCTATACCAGCGAAAAGAATCTTTTACCAATTCCTGATACTCCTCGTCAAGATTCTAAGGTCCATACAATAACAGATTCGCGTACTGGACTGTGCTCATTCGGTAAATCTAATGGCGTACTCTAAAAAAACGGATGTAGAGGGATAACGGGCCAGAGTTTCCAAAATCCACACTTTAATTTGTCCATATTCGTAAACTACGCCTGGAATATAAAATTGTAAGTTTTTCCAGGTTGTAGAGTATATTTAATTACGTTTCGGTCATAACAAATGTTTGTGAAGATCACGGAACATCTATAGAAGGAGTAGATTTTGGAAATTCCGGTCTCTTGTCTCTCAATATTCAATATATTCTACTACTATATATACATTTCCAAACAATCTATAATAAATTGATATATATCACCACGGTGGAACCTGACGGAAAGTTTGGTCGTCTGTTTCTCCAGTAGTTATTAGCTGAGTTCCGACATCTTTACCAATACAAAGAAAATTTTTAAACGAAGAGACATTGTCATTGAAGTAACTTAAAAGGAAATACTGAAATCCCTGTGGTAAAACTGCTAACGAAATCATATTTTAAATCTGTACTAACAACTTGGACAGACGACGCAATAAAGTATCTTTGTCCGGTAACTGTCTGGTCAAAATTAAACTCTATAATTATCCTAACAAAACAAATTTTGACGCGGCTATTGTGGATGAAAGTCAATAATTGGAAGATTTAGACTCTAACGTTTTAGCCCTTGACAAAACATCGTATAAAAATTCAAGTCAAATTTTTTCCGAATACAAATTGGCTATTTAAAAATGAATAAACAGCTAAACAAAACATTTTTCAAAACATGTGTAATCCATCGAATAAAAGTTTTAGTGGGGCTATATTTTGGTAAATCCAGTTAGTTATCCCTCTAAATCATAAAAATCTAGGAATTCTGGTCCGTTATCCGTGAAGATCCTATACGTTTGCGTACTCTGGTCCGTTATCCCTCAAAATCCGTTGACTTCAGGGTACTCCTGTCCGTTATCCCTCAAAATTCGTTGACTTAAGGGTACTCCGGTCCGTTATCCCTCAAAATCCGTTGACTTAAGGGTACTCCGGTCCGTTATCCCTCAAAATCCGTTGACTCCAGGGTACTCCGGTCCGTTATCTCTCAAAATCCGTTGACTCCAGGGTACTACAGTCCGTTATCTGTTCAGATCTGTCACTTTAGAGTCCTCTGGTTACATTTAACTAATAGCCGAAATGGATAACAAAAAATTAGAAACAGTTCTAGAATGTTTCATGCACTCTAAACTTGCATAGGATTATCGGAGTTAGTTTCACATGTAAGATAACTCGCAAATTATACGAGACCATCCTTAAACTTGGGTTGGATTTCGAAAACGTCTACACAGTACCCTCCAAAGTTTCCTAACGTGCCTCCAGTTTTAAATAGCGATTTTTTTTTGTATTTTTTAATTGCCTAAAACTTTCCCAAATCAACCGATATAGCAATGCGAACAAAAGATATTATTTAAAAAGTCTTTAAAAACAATATCTTATGAATAAAAAAAATACTTTTACTGCAAAAAAAAAAAGTTGTAGGACATCAAAGTTGGTCGCTTTTCAAAAAATTAAGCGGGGGCGTATAAGTGGGGTTGGAGATTTGAAGCACTACTATGCGCACCCAATTAAGTTCATTCTCCGTTCATGTAAATGTCAGCCAATAGAATGGCCTTATTCCTACTGAGGACTGTGTCATAAATGTTTCCCCCTAAAAAAACCCAGTCCCACTGGAATCCCTAACATGGCAGATCTTGTACATGCTTAAGGTTTTCCAAAAATAAATTCTATGAAGTATTTAGTTGCATAAAACAAAAGAGAAAACTATGTACAAGAATGTCTTACGATTGCTTTTTTTAACTTAGAAGAAAAAAGTACAGTATTTACGACTGCTTTCATTTTCGGTCGTTACACCACTATGTCGCGCATGTAATATTACCCCTGATACATATTCCTTTTTGGGTGAGCCGACTTGACATATTATTAAAGTTTTAAGGTTTTTTAAATAAATCCGCTACAAATTGTTTAGATATAAATTTAGGTAGCTAAAACTGTAAACAATCATGTCTTAAGGTACCTTTATTACTTTATATAAAAATAAATGCTGAGAGTCTTTTCATTGTCGCCTCCTAAAATCAAACGGGGACAATCTTACGCTTCTGACGAATGTTAAATGCTTCTTTTTATCTTTTTTGCAATTTTTCTATCATAACATGCCTAGACCTAACAAAAAACGAAAGGCTATTAGAAACAGACTTAGAAGAGAAGATGGATGCATTCAATCTGCCGAAGTGGTACTCGCTGAATGGGAAAACATTGAATTAAATCATGATCAACTAGTCGAGCAAGCCGAGGTTGTAAGAGCTGAGGCGAGTTCTCTTGATATTATTTCAGACAGCAATACAGAAATAAGTAAAAGACCACTTACGTACACTGGTACATCCAGAACAACAAAATGGAGAAAGAATGCCGAGGCTGCAAAGGTAGATCTAGCCCAGACTCTTCAACGTTTTGGATTTACTGTTGCAAAAAGTGTAGAAACTCAACAATTAACAAAGTTCATTCCTCACACGGAAAAAGAAATCGAAGGCATCAAAAAAATTATGCCTGCTATCAAGGCTCTTATTTTACCCGTAATGAGTAAGAAGAACGACTATAATGCTCGTGCATCATACAACAATACTAGGTATTTTTCTGTGTACGAATATTGCTTGAATCTTTTGGTGGAAAAAAGAAAGGATTGGCTTCAGAAGAAGCAGCCAAACAATTCTGGCCCCCAAATTCAAAGGAATACCGTGGGATGACCATTGTCAAGTGGACAAAGGAGTTCATTGACGAGGGTAAGCTTTCTGACCACTCCCAAGACGCCCATGTTAAGAGAGTATCACTTTTAAGTGACTCGGATGTCAAGATGGCTATTTTGGAAGAAATTCGAAAGATGAAACCAGCTCTTCGTTCCTTGATTATCATCAAAAAGATTATCGACGAGCAAATCATTCCTTCTGTTCTTGGTGTGGCTGAAAGTGACTTAAGTATGACAACAATTTCCCGTTATTTGCACGAATGGGGATATTCATACCGAAAAAATAAAAAGACTATTTTTTTCGATGGCCATGAAAGAGAAGATGTGATCAACTACCGAGATGAATGGTCTAAAAGAATGGTCGAATACATGAAAAGATCAGAATTTTATGTTGGGGACAATGAGGAGGAGATTCTTGAGCCAGTTCTGGATGAAGGTATAAAACAAATTGTGTTTGTTACGCACGATGAATCCACATTTATGCGAATGATGGTAAGGATGATCTGTGGTTGTTAGAAGGTGAGAACCATATCAGAAAGAAGGCCCAGGATCTTCAATACTGGTCAGTGAATTTCAATGCCCATGCCATGGAACCATGAAGAGTGCTGGTTGGACTTCTAGAAGATTTTTCAAAGCGGGTGTGGGCAGAGAAGGATACTGGAAGTACACTGACATGTTGGAGCAGCTTCAAGACGATGCAATCCCTTTGTTTGAGCTGCTCTACCCTGGTTGTCAAGCTGTTTTCCTCTTTGACAACAGTTCCAATCACAATGCATTCGGTGATGATGCTCTTGTTACAAGTCGTATGACACTTAATGAGAAGCCATACAAAGATAACGAAAAGTTTCAGTTCAAAGACACGACTGTAATTTTAACGGATGGCACCCGCTTGGAGCAGTCTTTCTTTTACACCAAGAAGACCAGTGTCACCAACAGACTGGAGTATGTCGTGAAGACAAAGGAGACACGATACTTCAAAGGTATTCGAAAGATTTTGGAGGAAAGAGGCGAATGGCTTGGTCGTGATCTGGAAGGCAAGGCTTGGAAAATGCTATGTAAGTCGAAGGAACCAGGCCACAGATCAATGTGTTGTGCTCGTCACTTTCTTAAAAGTAGACCCGACTTTGTGGTGCAAAAGTCGGCTTTGCAGCAAGCCGTTATTGACTCAGGTCACATTTTTGAGTCATATCCAAAATATCATTATGAATGCAACTGGATAGAAATGTACTGGGGTTCCGCCAAAAGGGAGGCACGTTTGAGATGTGATTACACATTCAAGTCTCTTGATGATAACTTATCAAGCTATTTGGATAAAGCTTCCAATGTAGTTCATATAAAAAGATTTTTTCAAAGGTCTATGACTTAGATTGAAGCATATAGAAACTGTAGTGACGGTAGAGAAGTCGTGTAGGAAGTAAAAAAAATTGTCAGCAAGTCTTATTTATCTCACAGAAAAGTTAGACTTAATACTGGTTTATTGACTTAATAAGACACAAATTGCACAATGAGCATGATCACAATGAATCAAAACCATTATGAACAGTCCCCTCCAAAAAGAAAGTTCCACCCTGTAACTCCGATATGTATCCTACATGTATGTTCCATCTTCTTACATGATTTTTGACAGACTTTTATTAGCAAAAAGCTTTCAAAAAACTCCATATAGTAGAAAAGACAGTACTGAACATTATGATATAAATTTTATGAAAAAAAAAAGTATTTTAGACAAACGTAGGCTTACTCAATAGTGAATTGGGTACCCTTTGTTTTTTATTACATCGCTTATGCGTTTAGGCATGGAATCAATAAGTTTGTTAATTTTCTCAACTTCTATCTTTTTCCATTCGTTTATAACGTGCATCTGTAATGTCGAAATATTTTTTACAAACTGCAAACGGTTTTGTCTTGCGAGTTTCATCATCATCCAAACATTCTCTATTGGATTCAAATCAGGAGATTGTGGCGGCCAATCTAAACAAATAATTCCCATGTCCTTCTTCCATTTTCGGGCAACTTTTGAAGTGTGAATTGGTGCATTATCTTCCATGAGAATTGCTGAACTACAGCCGTTATAAAAGTCCTTCAAAACGGGTTCATATACTTGATTTATGAACTGAGCACTAGATCTTTCACCCTTGTTAAGTAAAACCAAATTAGTGCGACGATTATATCCAATACCACCCCAGACAGATAAGGAGGATCGTCCACTTTGAAACGTTGGCGCCAAACATGACGGAATCATGACTTCATTGGGCCTACGGCGTACCCGAACAACAC